TTTTGGCGTGCAATTTGGATCAGAATATACTTCTTGAAATCATTGTACCCGGTTCTATTTTTTGTTTCGCTGTTACAGGAGGTGTTAGTGGCATGAATGAGAGAATGGTCAGAGCTAATATGGAGATGGGGCGACTTTGGAATTTCTGTTCTGAAGGATTTGGCGGACGCAGACGTTATGATTGCAGCAGATATGGTTTCTCTACGGCTGCTACTGTCGCATATCAGCCCAAAGACTGAGGGGCGGGACTAACTCGTTTGGATGTTGGAAGATGCAGAGGTTTTCACGGCTAGTTCCTTTTCTAAACTGTCCAATTTTTGCCATATTTATTTTGGTCTGGTTAATAGAGATGACAGTGTGTTGGTGAAGATATGGAAAGTAGTGGTTCCTTTTAAAATAAAGGCTTTTGGCTGGAAGATGCAGAGGTTTTCATGGTTAGCTCCTTTTCTAAATTGTCCAATTTTTTCCATAATCCTTTTGGTCTGGTTAATAGAGATGAAAGTGTGTTGGCGAAGATATGGAAAGTAATGGTTCCTTTTAAAATAAAGGTTTTTGGTTGGAGATGTTTCATGAACAGGTTACTGATGAGGAATTTCTTATATATTAGATGTGTCTTCCCTCCTTCTAGTGTTCTTGTTTGTTTGTTTTGTTCTTCTGTCTCGAAGTCGCTTTTTCATTCTTTGTTTAGTTGTTGGGTAGATATTCTGGTTTGAAAGGAGGTTGCGGAGTGGATCGGTTTTTTGGACCTCAGTGGTAGAAGTTTTATGGGGAGCTTTTTGGAATGGTATTCCTTTTGTAAATCTAAGTGAGTAAAGGCCAGTTGTTGCTGCGTTAAAGTGGCAAGCAAAAAGTAAAGTATTATTTTTACCGAATAATATAGGTTATATCGTATTGTGTCCACAGAGAATGGTGAGAGGGAAAAACTACCGTTCAACAGTTTCAATCCTTCTAAGTTTAGAAAAGGAGTTTGCGGAAAAAGTGCATGAAAAGTAAATAAAGCAGTAACGAAATCAATAAACAATCATCTTCAACCTAAGAGAATTCATTCTGGAATCGCATTTCACTCTACCTGTCAAATACTTAAATTTGCTGATCAATTGCACGCGACCTAAATCACTTGTTAATACCATCATGTATCACTCACACTAAGGCTATCTCTAACACAAAGTGAGATATCACCCGTATTGCTCTCGTCCACGATCTCTCAACCGACTCAAATAACCAGGATGCATTTCATAACCGATACCCACATTAATATTAAGTCTAAATCTATGTCTAGAGTCTCGGACCTAATAGATATTCATTCAAGAAAGAAATTCGGAAAGCATATGTCTACGACAAACCAAAACTCCGCGATTAAGAAAAAATCAAGAATAAACATCGGTATTAATTTGTAAAAGAGATTTCATACAATCCCATGATCAACAAATGTAGATACAATAAGAATAAAGATATACACACAACACCCACCATAAGAATGATACATAGGAAAGAAGGAGATGAATAGGAAACTTCTTGCAATGTCAACACAATCCGAGACCACCTATAGCCAATTGACATGATGGACCACCCAATGATGTTGCTTGAACCTTTAAGCTACAAAGAATTAGATCAAAGCTCCTTCAAGAGGGAAAGAGATGGTAAAAACATAAAAAATATGTTTCTAAACTATTTAAACAAAACTTATCTCTGCAGACCGCGCTTAGCGGGCTCACCGCGCTAAGCGGGCTGCATTTATTTAACACACTAAATTGTCCTAAACCACGCTTAGCGGGATTTGCGCGCTAAGCCGGCTTCAAAAAATCACTTCTGTCAAATCTGTCAAAGTTGCGCGTAGCGCGCTAGAGGATGCGCTTAGCGCGGTCCCCTAAGCAGAACTTCTCAAAATCGGGCCTTTTATTCCAAAAATGCGCATCCGGGGTCGTGCATTCGACATCTTATTCCTCAATGCTCCAAAATGCAACAAATATCTACAAAATGAATGGGAAAACATCAAACGGTACACTATATACACAAAAACACAAATAAACACAAACTAAACGTATTTACACAAAAGTCGAATTTATTCAACGATATTAACAACAAAGAGTCGATAAGCGCAACAAAAAATATATATAAATAACTACAATTTTCATTTATCACCGATAAAGAAGGATGTATTTGGTTGGCAGTGTGTTAGAATTTATGGATTCTTAGAAACAGTATCATTTTTAAGAATACCGGTTGGAATGTTGTAGACATTGTTTGGAAAATTAAGCTTATGGTTTGAAGTTGGTCGTTCATTGGAGATATTATTCATCCCAAATGCAATTTGTATGAATTTAGCAAAGACCCTTTATTTTATTTGGCTTAAGTTTGAATCGGTAGGTAATATTTCAGTTTATCGAGTTTTTCTCGCTCTTTTGTAATCAGAGTTGGGTACCTTTTGTACTCTTATCAATATATTCCTTGCTTACAAAAAAAAATATTCATAACTTAATAAAATAAATATTTTAAAAATTCATTACAAACTTAATACAACAATATCAATAGTACATATAATAATACTATATAATTTTACGCTTAATTTCAACCTTCATTTAAGAATAATTCGAACAAATTAAAGAATTAAAATAAAATAAGTTAAAATAATTCAAACCAAAATTAAAATAATAGAACATAAGAACTAAAGTAAAATTTAAAGAGTTAAGAATATTTAAATTAAATAAGATATAATTATCAAAAATAAACAATACAACATACTTAATTGATCTACAATAAACAAATTTGAGTTGAATTGCGACAAATAACTCATAACTGACAACAACAAATAATATTGATTTGAACGACAATCAATATTGAAGTGGACAACATGATTATGCTTGAAAGAGATGGTGTGATGATGATAGAGTGTGATTGAAAAAAAAACTATAACGAGGAGATAGAAATTACAAGTTTGTATGGTCCTAGAAAAAACTAGGAATTTTGTGTTTGTGATTTAGGAATGAGTTAAGTTTTGATATATACATATTAAAAAATTCAAAATTTTTTTTTTTTTAAAATGATCAATTTGATTGATTTTTTTGAATTGGACAGTTTTATAAAATTAACTATGATTCTTTAGTTCAAATAATTTTGAACGGTTTAATTCGATTTTTCTGATTTTACAAAACTGACTTCGATTCTTTAATATACAACAAGTGCTGGACCAAACTCAAAGCGAGTGAAGCTATCCCCGGGCTCATTTTTGTGGCCCTTATAATAGTCTTCAATTTCCTAAAAAATGGCCTTCAAATTTACATATTATAATGTTTAAAAATTATGTGACAAAAATGTGTTTGCCTAGCGGTCATGATTGTAGTCAGCATCCAAGGCTGTTTTGCATTGTTATTTTATAATTTTATAATTTTATAGTGGATTCTGCTGGTTAACATTTTGCACTTTTTGCCATTTCTTAAATAATTTCACATGTACATAATAGTTTGCCATTTTTAAAATAATTTTTATTCTATAATATTTTTCAAATTTGTTTAAAACAAATTCTAAAATTTTTACCAAAACATCCTTCTAAAAACAGTTTTGCATTGTTATTTTGGAGTGGATATGCATACAAAAACAATAAAAAGGATTAGAGTTTCATAAATATGTAGTTTGAGATATGAAGAAATGAATAGTATGAGTGTGTGTTAAAATCAAATTTCTGCAATTGCCATGACTAAAGTATGTTTCATTTTAAGCCATAAAAACAATAATCTAATCAAGTAAAGGATAATGTAATGCAAGACACCAAAGTCCAGTACTTTTGTTTAGCCACCAAATTCCGTATGCAAGAAAATAAAACAAACCCATAAATGAAACTGCCTCGTCAATTAATTCTCTTCATTATGAAATTTGAATCAAGACTTTATAGAATATGGACCACAGGCAAATAAAACTTTTGTCATTTTCCTTCAAGTCACCTTTAAAGGATCCCTTAAAATTACCCAACTTGTGTTACTAGCCTGCAATTGCAACAACAACAACAACTGGGTCTACTCCTTTAATTAATTCATCTTGGATCTTGTGATATTATTACTATTGTCTATTACACCCAACAGAGACTGTTTTCATTTTGTGATTTTATGTTGCTTCCTTTTCATAGTCAGAAACAACTGTAGATTCCAAAACATTTTTTCACTTTTTCACTTTCTGTACCTAAAGATCATCCTCTTCCATTCCATGCCTTCTTAGGGTTGTGTCATTTCTTTCTTTTTCTTTTTCTTTTTTTGGCCCCTACTAGTTTTTAATAAGAGTTTCTAGTAATATAACACATGCAATGTTTCACTACTTATCATTCTAGAATGTTTTCCAGATATATGTATGTATTGCCTTCAGAAAACAAAACCCTTTTCTGCAATCTCAGAATTTTTCTGCTTGTCTAAACAAAGAAACCAATTTGCATTGTGTTTCTCAGTTTCACATGCAATTCATTAAAACACATGAATGAAATTAATACTATATAGTATAACTATTCATTCACATCTATATTATCATTCATCCATGCATGCCATTGATGTCAGGCTAATTAAACAACCTCATTCCGATTCAGACACTTACTAATTGTAGAAAAGCTTAAACAAGCTCAGCTAAACTGTTGATTAGGACTTTTTATCATGCATGAACAAATATATAAAAAATAAAAACTGTTCATTTGGACTCTGGTATAGTTTTTTTGCATATAACTAGTATTAATAAAACTGATAGACGATGAGCATCGCATATATGTGGATACTATAGTAGATTGATTTATTCTTCCTTGTACCTGATATAGTTTTTGTCGAGAAGTTATGATCTATAGCAGCAAGAAGAGAGAAATTATAATTATAATTCAACTCGAATATTCTATATGTATAGCATTGTCATTCTTATACATATTCTACTAGCTAGTGTGAAAAATATAAATAATTAGAAAACATTGTACTGTTACATATCATCGTCATATATATAGAATGGATGAGCATCAAAGAACAAAAATACTACTACTATCCATTTCTGGTGTTATTATGATCTGAATCAAGAAGCTTGGAATTTATGAACGGCATTGTTTGATTGCGTCTAAAAGGCGAATTGATTGGAAGATGAAGAGACGGGATGAAAGTAGTAGTCGATGAGGAATTCAAGATCTGAACATGGTTGAATTGTCTTTGAAAATCAGTTTCCATTGATGGAGCAATCTGAGTGGTACTAAAAAGTGATGATGGCATAACAGAAGGAGGGCAAAAAAGTAACTGTGAATTAGGTACTGTCAAATTAGAAGAAGATGAAAATTGCATAGAACTTCCATTACTGTTTTGATGAAATAAATTAGCATGATGGCCTCCAAATTGTGATAATGATAGAGTACTTGAAAGATCCATGTTATTATTATATGGAAAAGGAAAACCAGTTGATGAATAATTAGAACAATAATAGTTACCCTTTTCTGCAGAACTTTCAGGTTGTTTACCTTTGATTTCATGATGATCATAAAAAGCAGTTCCAAGAGAAAAATTGGATTGTTGAGGATTCTGCAAATTATACCTTAGGGTTTGTTGTTGAGTACTAAAATCAAGTGGTGGTAACTTATCAATATCAGATTGAGTTGCTTCAAGTAACCAATCAACAACTTTACTAGGTTGACTTAAACCAAGCCTGTCTTGAAGATCATATAACTGAATTGCCGTTGGTACGGACAACCTAATACGACGGTCTCTTAATCCTTTTATTGTACACACTTTGCTGTGTCTGTCTTTTCCCCCTAAAGAACGCGACACTCTCACGATTCTTGGATTTCTTGACGATGTCCATTGTCTTGATGATGTTGCTATTGCTTTGTTGGAGAATTTCTCTATGTTCATTGCTCCACTTTCATCCTCTTCCTTTCTTGTTTCACTGTAATAACCTTTACCAGTTGAGTTTTCTATCATCATCAATTTCACCTCAATTTTTCTCCTGCATGCACACAACTCAAAAACAGTTAGGTCGAAAACAGATCCATAAAACTCATAACAAATAACAATAACTTTTTATCTTGTTATTACAAACTTTGTTAGATTTATAACATTTATACATGTCAGAGTTATATATACTAAAATTGTTGCATACATGAATTTGACAAGAGAATTTTCAGTGTTAAGTATGTCAAAAAGGTCTGAGAAATAGTAGAAAATTTAAAGTTTTTCTGGACAATAGAAGTTATTATGTTTATATTTATGTTGCTCTACAAAATTAGGGCAAAGTTAATTGTATTGATTGAATCTGTGAAAATATTAAGTTGAAGCATGGTGGATGAAGAAGAAGAAGAACTTACAATCAAGAGAGAAAAATCTGGGTGGTATGTATTTATGTGTGTGTGGAAGTACTGTTGATTATAAGGTGATTAGTGTTGGGAAGAAAAGAGATAGTTGGTAGAGAAGTAGAGAGAGAATAGTAGAAAAGAGATAGAAACAGTGCTCTTTCCAAAATGAAAGTTAATGTTAATTAGTTCAGCAGCTGTCGTCTGCAACCTTTTCCTGCAATGGAATAATTTTGCATTAATTAACTAAATTAATAAGGTAAAAAGGTTTGAATTTTCATGTTGCATGTAGCAATAACAATTTTTTGTAAGCTAAATTGTGGTGGTAGCAGGTGTCCCGATTACGGTCATTACGATGGATATGATTCTCTTGTTGCAGCGTAAATTTTTGTTACAAAGTCTTTAAAAAATAATTGATGTTAATAATATTGCAATCATAAACAGAGAAGGCAAAAATAACTTACTTGCGGATAAAGTCCGTCGTAATATAGATATTATGGTTTAATGGGTATTCACGGATAAAATAAACGGATATTTAGTTATCTGTTTACTTATAAATACGGATATAGATTTGATGATACACGTACTTGTAGATATCCATATTTGTTAATAATTAATAAAAAATACTTAAATTAATTAATAAAAAATATTTAAATATTAATTTGTTTGATAAAAATTATTATTATTATTATTATTATTATTATTATTATTATGGCCGTTGTTGTTATTTTGTTAAATATAATATTATTATTACTATTATTATTATTATTATTTTGATAAAAGAAAAAATAAAATGAATGTGATTTATTTTTGTTATTATTTATTATGTGTTAAATTTGAAAATAATATTTTTTTCTTTAAAAGAGATAAAAAATAGTTATTTAAATATATTTTTTTAAAATATATTTAAATAAAAATATCTATGAATATCTGTAAATACCCGTGGATATCTGAATATCTAAGAATATTTGTTTAACGAATATTCGCACAGATACAAATATTTTATTTACTAAATGGAGTGGGTAGCAGGAAGCTAGTATTCGTGTCTATGAATACTCATTGTCATTCTTAATCATAATAAGGGTTGCAGGTGACTATGTGTCATTCTTATATACGTGACAATTTTGACTTTTTTTTATAGAATTGAGTTTAAGACTCGTAACTTCTAAATTTAAATTTAATTTATGTATTAAATTTTATCGTTTAACTTACTTATGCATATACATATTTCTTCTATTCTAAATTATAAGAGAAATTTATTTTTTAGATTCATTGAATAAATATATGTATGATTTATATAGATCAGTTATATTAATTATTTAATAAATTTAAAAAATGAATTTCTTTTATAATTTAGAATAGAAGAAATATAAATTATTTTATTTTTATTTTATTTTAAATTAAAACTAATTTTTGATATCACATAATCATGTACGATATGTGTTAAATTTAAAATAAATTGTTGTGTTCCACATGGTTGTCAATTTAAAATAAATTGTCGATGAGACAGAAATCTCCTAAGACAACAAATTGTGTCTAACTTTAATAATGTGGTGTGTTATGTGTTAGGGCGGGTGAAGTTGGCTCGTCATCTCTTTAAATTGTGTGAGGATATTTCAGATATCTAATATAGAGTTTTTAGGTGGATGAGACAGTCAAGGTCTTTGCCACTGTTTCAGGTTCCAGATCATGGAAAAAAGGTGATTTTAAGTTTGATAATTTAATCTGTCATTTTGTATTTTGTGGTATGAATTATTTAAAAATATTAAATAAAATTATTGTTTTGTCAGAAAAGTTTGACAATTATTATTTATTGACTATCTTTAATTATTACTTTGGTGTAGAAGTGAGTTTATATTCATGTTTCAGGATTCGTCGTTTTTTTTATGACTAGGAAAAATCTGCTGAAGTGGCTAGATATTTAGGGGTGTGATAAGTGGCCAATTACTCGATTTTATTTGTGTTTTGTACATGTGATCATGTCTATCTTCCTCCAACTTAATCTCTTCAAATATATGTTGTGCATGAGATTTCATGACAGTTCGAATAATTGATCTATTTAATTTATATTTTTATTGTCTCGTTGAATTTTTGTTTTTTTTTGTGTTGTTTTTTTTTTGTATGAGCTTCATTTTAATAGTAATATTTTTTTTTTGCCTATTAAAAAAGAGATACATGCTAATTTAGTTTTTTTTAAAACTAACCTTAATCTTTTAAGGAATTTATTTCATGGCTAAATTGAAAAATTAATTAAATGATATAAATGAGAGGATGAGATAATTATTAGAGGGTAATTTAGTATTTGTTATTGGTTTGATATTCTCTTTAGGTCCTATGTGGCATCCTTATCTTTACTACTTTTGTGTATAAATAGGTGTACTAGGTTTACATTTGATGCAATCAATTCTCTTCAATCATTTGTGGCAGCTTTATAACATTTATTCTTTTTTTCTCCCTTCTTCCTCAATTTCATCACCTTGCACCAACAAATTGGTATCTAGAGCTCTTGGTTTGTTCTGAAATTCTAGGAAACACGAGTGATAGTGAGCTGTGTGTTTGATTTTTGGTTCCTGATTTCTGTTGAATCTTGAACAAAAATCTGAAACAGAATCACACAGATTCAGTGGGTTTGAGAAATACTGAGTGAGAATCTGAGATCTGAGTTTTCTGTGCAAGGTTTAAGATGAGTGGAGACAGTAGTTTGAACACTAAACTTCCAGTTTTTGATGGCAAAAGCTAGAACAGATGGAAGATACAAATGCGTGTGTTGTTTGGTGCTCAGGATGTTCTGGATCTTGTTACTGAAGGTTATGTTCCAGTTGCAGCAGATGCTACTGAAGAACAAAAATATGCAGAAAGAACTACGAGGAAGAGGGATCAGAAAGCTTTGTTCTATATCCATCAGTGTGTGGATGAAAGTGTGTTTGAGAAGATTGTTGATTTGACGACGTCGAAGGAGGCATGAGATATACTGGAGAGATGTTATATGGTGGTGATGCGTCAGTAAAGAAGGTAAAGCTTCAGTCCATGCGAAAGCAATATGAGAATCTCAACATGAAGAACAGTGAGAAAGTTTCTGAGTACATCTCCAGAATGATTCTGATCGCTAATGAGATAAAAGCTTGTGGAGAAACACTTTCTGAACAGGTAATCATAGAAAAGATTCTGAGGTCACTTACTCCTCAGTTTGATTACATTGTTGTTTCTATTGAACATTCTAAAAATCTGGAAACCATGAGAATAGAAGAGTTGCAAAGCAGTCTAGAAGCGCAAGAGTTGCGTCTGACTGAAAGAACTTCTGAGAGGGAAGTGGAGAAAGCTCTGAAAGCTTCTTTTGTCAAGAAGGACCAGAAGCAGAATAGACGTGGTGATAAATTCCAGAAGTCAGAAACCTCAACTTCTGATGAAAAGAAATATCCGAAGGGAAAGGAAAGGTATGACAAGAAGAAGCTTCAATGTTACTGTTGTAAACAGTTTGACCATTTTGCCATAGATTGTAGAAATAGAGGAAGGAAATCAGAAGAAGCAAATATAGCCAGAGGAGATTCTGATGATGAACTTGTGCTACTAATGGCTTCTGATTCTGATGGAAACTGTTCAGAAGATTGGTGGTATATGGACACTGGCTGTTCAAACCACTTGACTGGGAGAAAAAAATGGCTGATAGACTCTGACTCCAAAAGGAGAACAAAGATCAGATGTGTTGATGATAAGTATCTTAATGCAGAAGGTATCGGAAATGTCAGAGTCATGGTGAAGAATGGAAAAAACATTATGATCAAAGATGTTTGGTATGTTCCTGGAATTAAAAGTAATCTGATGAGTGTGGGTCAGCTTATTGAGAAAGGTTTCTCAGTGGTTATGAAGGACAACCTCTTGACGTTGTATGATTCTAATAAGAAGTTGATTATGAAGTTTGAGCAGGGAAGCAACAGAGCATTCAAGGTGAATGTAAAAACAGATGAAGTAGAGTGTCTTAGTGCAGAAGGCGCTGAAGGTGACAGTAAGATGTGGCACAAGAGGTTGGGGCACTTGAACTATAGAAGCTTAGGGCATCTAAGTTCTAAGAAACTCGTACATGGCATTTTGAAGATTGTAAAGCCTCAGAAGTCATGTGAGATATGCATGAAAGGCAAGCAACCCAGAATGCCATTTGCATCAGAAGTAGTCCCCAGAGCAAAGCATGCTTTGGGATTAGTACATTATGATGTGTGTGGACCATCTCCAGTATCTTCACTTGGAGGAAACAAATATTTTGTGTCTTTTTTGGATGAGTTCACAAGAATGACATGGGTAACACTCATCAAGTTCAAGCATGAAGTTTTTACTGAGTTCCAGAAGTTCAAGGTGAAGGCTGAGAAGCAGAGTGGTCAGAAGCTGAAGATTATGAGAACAGATGGTGGAGATGAGTATAACTCTACAGAGTTCCAGAAGTTCTATGAGTAGAATGGAATAAAACATGAGGTTACTGCTCCATATAGTCCTCAACACAATGGTCTTGCTGAAAAAAGAAACAAAACTTTACTTGATATGACCAGAAGTATGCTGAAAGAGAAGAAGCTATCTCACATGTTATGGGGAGAAGCTGTTGCCACATCAGTATATGTTCTGAATAGGTGTCCAACAAAGAAG